AAGAGTATTCCATGTCAGCATCTGTGCTATCGGTGTTTATGTAAGTTGTCACAGATGATTTGTATCACAGCATGAACTCAACAGATCATTATTATATCCCAGTGTTTTTTTAGAGTTATTCAATCTCGTATTCCTTTTTTAAACCTACAAGGTTCTTGTAAACTCACACGCACAAACACACATACACGCGCGCACATACACACCAAAATTTGAACATAGCACAGCACCATTGGTAGATCCCGATTGCAATTTTAACTATATCCGTATATTAAGTGAGCACAGGTCGTTCACCAGAAATTCCCATAGACGACGACAATCACATTGCAGAGAAGTGTTAGTTTGCTAAAGTTTGATGTAATTCCTTTTATATTGATGCATATTCATATCAGCCAGACATGTATTTTATCCGTAGAAAGGCGGTCAAGCCTACCGTACAATTCACAGTTACAATTAATTTATAAACTACCTCGGAACAAAATGAAATGTTTCTTCCTTTATCCTTTCAAACTTGAGAAGCCCGCATGACGTAAATATTTTTAAAATAGATCTCTTGTCTCTGTCCAATAATTAGATTCATGATTTACAGTATTCGTGAAGATTATTTAACAATTAGCCACAATTAGAGCCTTTGGTAGGAGTAGATGATAAGCATAGATTTGCTAAGTATTTTAAGATATTCATGCTAGCTCAAAAGAAACTTTGATTTATGTTTGTAGTACACCCCCAAAATAGGGATTACACAAGTGATATATTAAGATGACATACAACTCATACTTACTTACGTGTATAAACTACTATCAAACAATGAGGATAACAGGTGTTTGCAAAAAGGTGAGAGTATCCTGCACAACCGGTGGAACAAACACATGCAAAGGCAAGTTAGTTGTTAAACACGAAAAACACGGAAACGTATGGCACAAGTCAAAACAGAGAATTTCATCGGACATAACTCCAGTTGCTATGTGTTGCTGATTAAGCGCAAAGATATAAACTCTCACTGACTGCTCAGAAACATTCATGTAATATTAGTAATATTCAAATAGGTGTACTTATTCTTGGTGTGTGTGACGTGGATGCATATATATATATAAGCAACCAATTTATTTGGATTAGGGTCCACTGGTATCCCTTCAGCAAGTGCGAATCAGGTCCTAACACATCTGTTTTGTCATGTATCACGCGGTATACAGTCTAATCTCGCTTATCCGGACAATTGCTTTTTCTAAAAGGTCTTGAAAGGAAAGTTAACTTACAAAGTTGTAATATACGTGAAAGGCTTATTGTTGCTGATTAAGCGCAAAGATATAGACTCGCACTGACTGCTCAGTGACATTCATGTAATATTAGTAATATTCAAATAGGTGTACTTATTCTTGGTGTGTGTGTGACGTGGATACATATATATATATATATATATATATATATAAGCAACCAATTTATTTGGATTAGGGTCCACTGGTATCCCCTTAGCAAGTGCGAATCAGGCCCTAACACATCTGTTTTGTCATGTATCACACGCTGTACAGTCGAACATCGCTTATCCGGACAATTGCCTTTTATAAAATGTTGTCCAGATAAACGAGTTTCTGGATATCTGAATACCTTGTTAATTGACCAGAAGTCCTTCCCCTACCTCAATTCTACCGAGGCATGTGTGAAATGAATGGCAAAAATATGATTTATGAAGGATCGACCATTTACTAATAAAATACATTGTGCTGTACAGACCTACACAGAATGCTTGTGACAGCACACTGCATTATTGAAACGGCTAAAGAAATGCATATGTACCCTAGTTTAGACTATGCACTTGTTTTGTGTACAGATGTGACGGCGAGGTTAGGGCAACCTGACACACATGAGCATTAATAGCCATGTTTACCTGTACTAGTTGACTGCTAAGGTTGAACTCATTCATGTGTGAAAAATGTTGTGGAGGCATCTGTACATCTTCTTTGCATTGTTAAAGTACATCAAGATGAGTCATCATATACATTCATACATATTTGTTGAGCTCGCAACCATGAAGTGTAGCCCGGACATTTCCTCGAAAGTATGGGCGGCCATGTAGCTTCAATATATTAATAAGTTATATCACTGAACATTAGTCAAGGTGTATTCAGTAAACAAAGATCTGAGGGGCTGTATTTCCTTCATAGAACACGCGCTGCGTTCATCACAGTTTGTGACTTTCTAATCTAATTGGGAATCATGCAGTTGTTAGGCTTACGGATACTAACCAACTAGCACCTGTTTGGCAGGTAGGTTTTGTTAAGATTTGTTATCTTGTTCTCTCTCTACCCTCTACTTCCTTAATCACAATTTAAATCCTAAATAGACTTTCGGGCCTAACACTGTGGCAATTTTAGACCCTCTGCTTCTGTATTTACTTGAGCTCATTTCCCCTAATGTTTACATCATCTCATAAGACTAAGTCATCAATGATGTCAAAGCTGTCTGACATGTTTCTTATGAACAGTTTATGAAGCTAAACAATGTCCAATTGATTTAAGCACACAAATATGCGCTATCCATTTGATCGACGTTTGTATGTGATTTTTGGGGAGAGGAGGTGCTAACTACTACTTAAAAACAGCGATCATATTGGATTACAAATGAGATGGTGATAAGGCTCAGGTTATGAAACAATCTGAACTCACAGTATTGAATTACTACACAATACACTGCCTTGGAACCCAGCTTCAATGGCTACATGATCAGAGTGCAAAGATTGTTTGTCAATGAGATAAGCTATATTGTTAGATTTAGTTCTCAGGATATTAGTTCTCGAAATGCATGACGTAGCAGTCCCCTCATGTACTCAATATATGCTATTTCAGTATCCAAGTATCTTCAGGCGACATTTCCCAGACAGTGGAAAATATTCATCCTTATTCCAACACAATATTTACAAGCAAATGAGGAAAAGAGACAAACGATTTCTGTCCACAATGACTTCAAGTGTTCATTTCCGATGTGAGATATTGTGTTTAATTGTATATAGTGAGTGAGTGAGTTGGGTTTAACGCCGCTTTTAACAGTATTCCAGTTTTATCACGGCGTGTCAGCTTAATGTGGGAGGAAAGCCCGAAGTGATGCAGGTCTCAGACGTTTACCACTTCGGTGAAAACCACGAGCACGGGTATGGTGCTGACAAACCTAGACACATAATTGGGGCGAACCGGGATTCGAACCCACAATCATAGGTTTCTGGCGTGCCCAAGGGACGCAACTCTGCACAGCGAATCGCGGCGCCTTAGACGACTGGGCCACCCGTGCCCCCTTAATTGTATATAGCGTGGAAGTGGCAATAAGTATGGCACTTGTGCCCCATCCCTTTGTTTTCTTGGACAATAAAATATATTTGGTACAAATAAGAAAACCCCACATACTTCATATCATATTACATGTCTCTTATTCCTGTGTGTAGTATATTAGATAAACTGCAAAAAACATAATATTATTATTATAACATGGTTTTTATTTGTATTGTTTAGGATGTTACAAAATTAAACATATCTCTTTCTTTTGAGTCATTGTTGTTTAACGCCGCATCAACAATCGTCTAGCTATTCTCGTCTATTGTTTCCAAGAATTATGGCTCACATTTAACCGTCCCGTTATTTTGCAGATTGTTCTCTTCATTGGTGAAATGGCACACACCTGAATCCTATTCGCTTCCCCCAACATTGTTAAATATGTATGCAAACTGATCAACATGTCTTTATGATATTTGATAAGAACGTGATTTTATGGAATGTGTCAAGGCTACCATATCGCTTTACTAAGACGCGTGTGCGAGCATGTGCACGTGCATGTATATTTGTATATGCGAGGTGCTCGCGTCTCAGCTTGCATTATAGTGTTTTATTTAACCAGAACCTTCACAGAAAGGTTAATGGGGGCATATGAACCTTGTTGGCAAAGGTTTCAGCATAAGTGAAATTATAGTTAACCCAATATTTAAAATGTTGGAAACGTATCATCATCTTATTTTAGTACCGATAATATGAGCATTAACTATTCAAATACAAACCCTCGATATCCGGAATGATACATAACTTTCTAAGGCGTGAAAAGATTTGAAAATTATATATTTACAAATGTTTTCCCACCTAAGGAAACGTTCATATTTCAAAACCTAGTACACTTATAAAGGACTAGGAAAGCTCAGTACCTATTACAATTAAAAGGTATGCATTCGAATACTTTATGATCAAGTATTTACTTGGGTATTATTTCGTACCTTGGAAATGTCTAAAAGTCCGGTCAGAGCATTCAGGACAATGGTGCTTGTGCATACAACAATACACGGTGATCATATGTCTCAAAGTTGAAGCTCCATATCAAATAAACGCCCAAAGTGAATTCATATCGGAAAACACCACATAAAGCCGGTCACAGCATACATTTCCTATTATATTTGCGTTTGTTTCAATGGTGTAAAATCCGGCTTTTAGAAACTTCTAATGTGTTTCAAGATAGAGAGCAAACTTGTTACGATTCAAAATATGTATATCAAATACTAATCACAAATAATCAGTCATTGTGTTATGTGTTTAAAATACTACATTGACAATTATCTGGTCATCTCCATTTTATTGAATAACAGTAACTCCAACGTATGTTTCTTGACATCCCCTGAGGCGGTCTGGTAGCTGGGTGGTTAAAGCGTTCGCTCGTCATGCCAAAGACCCGGGTTCGATTCCCGATATGGGTATAATGTATGGAGCCTATTTCTGGTGTCCCCCATCGTGATATTGCTGGAATATTGCTAAAAGCAGCGCAAAACCATACTCACTCACTTGACATCCCCTACAGTGTGAAATCCAAAGCTGAGTGAAAAGCTGACTTAAAGGGCATGTCATTCTTTGTAATAATACAGTTAATGTATAAATTCCAAAAAGAAATTTACTCTGGTAAAGGATCCGTATCAAATGGATGATACATGTTTTTATATTGCAGATACTGGGGTAATAAAGCACAACAGAGATACTTACCCATGCCACTCTGCAGGACCGTCAAAAGAACCACCAAACTGAAGCGCTTGTAAATCATCCTCTCCATAGTCTGTTCCTGGTTCCTATCAAAACAAAGGATGAAGATCCTAAATGTCTACAGAGATGGCTGGTGGGAAAATCATTCCGCATCTGAGGGAGAGAACATCCCGTCACTGATAAGGCCTACATATACATGTACACCAAGGTGTTACATCCTTGTTTTGTTAGTGAGAATATATCAGAAAGAATGTTTCAAAGTCCATGTGTGTCAGATGGCTACAAGGAAGTTCTATTTCATCCCTGCGAGTGAGTACTTTGACGACGCAGTCAACAACGTTCAAGCCAGATCAGGAATCGAATCGTAGAAGTGTGACAGCAGCGATAGTACGACACGACAAGTTGATAGCGTGACACGACATAGGGATAGAACGACATGTTATGGTGATAACATGACATGCTATCACGATGAAGCAAAAGATCCATAAAGCGATATGGTCACGCGATACGATGATATGGCAAAAGAACAGCACGGCAATAGAGTAATAATTTCATATGACAATATGATGGTATGACAACAGACCGATATTGTGTAATTGCGGTATGACCATGTGAGGACATGACAACACTTTTAACTGAAACTGAGGCTGACTGGCCAATTGCAAATGCAAGGAACATAATATTATGGAAATGACCCAAAGTAGTGGCAGAGCGACATCATTACCCGAACCATAAAAATATACATGATATATTTCATACCTTGCTGTCTTCACATACATAGTTAATAATTAAATTTTCATTGTTCGAATCGTTCAAAGCGCAACAACAAGAATGGTAACACCACATTACAATAGGATCAATGCGCGTTCATGGTGGGGTGGTTTTGACTGGTAGCATCTGTTTTACCTGTGACGTCTCACTGATGCTCAACGGAACAACCTCGTAGGTCGATTGGAAACAGAAGACTTGCAGTCAGTTGTAGCCAGGATATTGAAATGTGTGCCAAGACACAAACAATTCCTCTAGTATCGATTCGAAAAGCATGGCACGTCAATTAACTGACCCAGGTCGAGCCGTCCCCGTGTTACAATGGCTTCCAAGGTCCGCTTCATACGGCTACGTTATTTGCAATTCTCAAATTGCGAAAGATATCTGACCAGACAGCGTCGAAACGCCTTCGTAACGCAGAGCTCGACGGCCTGTCAGACAAAGGTGTTGTTTTGACGTCAACTGAGCCGCAAGCAGTATCTGCCCCAAACAGCGATGAAACATTGTTCAGCGACGTTTGGTTAAGTGATTTATGCCGTACTAAGAATATGGGTAAGCCAGGATGCACCAACATCTGCAGATCGACAGATTTGGCTTTGGCAGCAAAATAATGTAGGCGAATTTCTCTCTCACTGGTAGAATATACCTAGTGCCAGGCAACTGAACGACCAAACGCTATTGTGATGAAACACTTCAGCCGCATGTTGTTTCCACCAAGTTATCCTTCAGCACGACAATGCTAGACAGCATACAGCTACATGTGTAACTGTTGATCTAACTTATTTGAAATCAAAAGGCAGGAGAAGTACTAGTATTCTCATCTTTCGGGAAATAAAACATGCAAGAGAAAGAGTTTGAAAGAAAAACAGGCCGCAAACTTTTGAGAATTTATTTTACGCTGCTCCCCATAGTACATAGTGCTTTTTGAAGCTATCTTCTTGGACAAAAAAAATGTACTTACCGCAAGCTCCCACTTTGATCTTGTCACTTCAGACAACGAATCGTAAAAGAGAACTCCTGTATATAGACGAATATACATATTATTTTAACAGACGTGTTGTACATGAATACAAAAGAAGGCGTCAAAATCCTTTTTATATACAACCTCGATCAACTTCTTTTCCCTCTTATCAAAATAGGTTCCATACAAATATCTTACATAAGACACAAAACGTGGATTCATAATTCATTGTTAACAATTAATTATAACGAAGCAATGATTATTTTCGACGTTTTTCCGTGGGGCTTCGGGGCAGTATAGGTATCAGATTTGGGCACAGCGTCATTGTTGTCCTAATAACTAGTTTATATCAATCAGCCGTAGCATTTAATGCTCTTTGGTTGATAATCTAAAATACACTTACACTTGCTGCACATTTTAAGTGAGACTGATACCTTAGATTACAGATTAGGTAATTTTAACTGTAGCCCTATCAAGTTAGTGAGCACATGTTTGTGGCCCAAAATTCACGTTCACTACAATCACACTGTAGAGTAGTAGAAGTTGGTGAGCTAAAGGTTCATTTCATTCCCTTTATATTAATGTATATTCATAGCAAACAGACAGGCACTATATTCGTACGAATGTCATGAGGCCCACAGTGCAATTCACACTTACGATTAATTAATAAACCATCTAAGAACGAATGTTTTTTTCTTCTTTTAGCCATTTAAATATAAGTAGTACCCACTAAAATCACTAGAACCATGACCAGTGTATTTAAAACTTTAGTTCTTTGTTCTTAGATGTATGTAATGAAAGAACACTATTTATCAACAATACTTGTTTTTGTGTCAGATATGGATCTATACCTCCATTTTAAGTATTCGAATACTTTTTTTTGTCTTTTTTCGGTAAAAATACATAGTTTGTGCCATTTTATAACAAGAAAAAGATCAAATATAATTTGCTTCCCAAATATTTGTTCAATGAACCGGCTGGTGCGATGAATAAGCCAAACATGGCTTCTGTTGTTGTCACCCAATTGGTTTGACTTTATATCACCATACCATAAGTGCATATTGTCTGTCAGGATAATTAAAAAATATGACATCTATATGCTGCTTATGATACTAAATTATGTTAAGTACATATGATTGTATGAAGGCTATATCATAAACGTTCTTTCATCTGAAACACTTTTTTGAACTCCAATGTTCAACGTGTGACTGTGAATGTGTCAAACGTAGATTCCTACATGTAGGTGTACACCTTGAAGAAGATTAAGGGTAGTCCTGATTTCTCAAGCAGAAAGGGCATGTCAAACAAACAACACACCAGGGACTGTCACGTTAAGGCGGAATGACCTACTTTATTTTGTAACTGATACTTCCGCGTTGCCAACTTTGTTAGATCGTAATACGGCCCAGTGATAACACAACAATGTCTTGAGTCAAGGTTGTTTATTCGGTTGTATATTCGATAACATGTGTGCACACATCAGCACTGTCAACCAGACTAACGTTTAACCGCCCCTCAATCACCCCACCCCACCGCACCCCACCAAACACAGCAACTTACCTACCTTACGTCATATATACTATCACATTGAACATTACTTACCAGTTACAAGTTATACTGGCGACATCTAACGCGATCACTCGCTGGGCGCCGTTATCTTGAATGGAGTCTCGCGAGATCTCTTTATATATTTAAGACCTAACGCTTAACATCCTGGGTGCTGGGTAACACAGGCACAGAGAAGTCAATTTCTGTAAAGGAATGTTACTCATTTCACCGTTGAGAAAGACAAAATCCATTACTACCCGGTACTGTTTTTCACTTGAATGAACAATTCTCGTCTTTAATTTGTTGAGGAGTGTCTGAGGCACAGGGTTGCACATTATTGCTCAATTTGAGTCTATTACTATGGACTACAATCTTCTTATGGTTAAAATTCTATAGTTCACAACAAAAAGGTTTGAAAGTATTTGGGGGTGGTCGGGTAGCCTACTGGTTAAAGCGTTTGCTCGTCACGCTGAAGACCCGGTTTCGATTCCCGACATGGATACAATGTGTGAAGCCTATTTCTGGTGTAAAACCATAACCATCACTCACTTGAAAGTATTTAATAGGGTCCATCCAAATGCAGAAACAATTTATGGCATTCTCCTGTTGGTACAGTAGAACAAAAAAAGTATTTAAAAAATCCCCCGCTTGAAATGGTTTAGCATCAACTTTGCTATCATAATACCAATGATGCTGGGATGATCTTCCTTCACTATTTCATCAGCCTTGGTAATCCGTGACTCCATTTCGTCCACAAATTTCCCCTTTTCTTCCATATTTGTCTGTTCCCCTGTTGGTCCATACATGATATCTATTGGTAGATTAATTACTCTTCCAAGCACATGGTAGTTTGGAGTACTATTGGAAGAACTGTGTACACTGAAGTTATAAGCCTTTGTCACCAGAGACAGATGTTCATCTCAGTCACAGTAATTTTTAGCAATATACTTGCTCAACATATCTCCAATAGTGCTCATAAAGGGCTCCCCCATTCCTTGAGAGTTCGGGTGATATGGACTAGTACGTTTTTTGTGATACCAAGTTCCCCACACATAGATTTGAATACTAGTGATTCAAAGTTTCTCCCTTGGTTAGAATGCAGATTTTTTTTAACTCCATACCAACTAGCAAAACCGTACACAAGATGTTTTTGGACAGTGTGTGCTCTCTGATCTGGTGTAGGATAGCATTCCACATGCTTTGTAAAATAGTCCATAACCACCACAATAAAACGGTTACCTACTTTCTGTATCTGGCAGCGGGCTTGTAATGTCTACTGCAATCCTTTCTGGTTGATGTACAACTGGACCGGATGTTTTCATTGACAGTGCTTTTTGAGATTTGAAAGCTTTCCTTTTCACACACTGCACATAGCTACCACGTTTCGTCTGAGCCGAATTACATATCCGTTGGCGTTCGCCTGTCTTTTTTGTGGATGCCTCAAAAATAATGTTCAAAGCAATTCCCTATTTTGACTTGTATCATACGTTCCCTTGTTTCTATCAGGTGATCAATTGACAGGTCTTTGCATTTAACTTTTCGCGAACACCTGCTTATGACTATGGAAATAGTTGTGTCGTTTTTATCTGAAACGTGTATAGTTTTTGGTCCTGATATCAAATGGTGATGATGCCAGGACCCACCGGTGGCACTTGTCATAAACACATGCAAAGGGAAATCAATTTTTCACCTGAACAAACACAGGCATATATGATGGTACAAGTCAAGACAAGTAAGGAGTCTGCAGTACCCCGCAGTTGTTACAAATGATGAACGTCGCTTTATAACTTTGCAAAGAAGTTTATTGAAGGATGGAAATAAGCTTATTCTAAGAAAATAAAACATATACGAAACATGTATGGTTCTAGCAGGTTAAAATTGGAATCACAATCAATATTCAGAAATCTCCAAACGAAACATTACTTTTCAAAGCTTCATGAAATACTTTACTGAAATTTATTTCATGTGAAAACATCAGATCTAAACAAAATCATCTTAAAAAAGCCTCAAGATTATTTAAAAATGTTTAAAGTGGTCTTAAAATTTAGAAACAGCCTCACGCAAATGAAAGAGATACCAGTATATCAGATTAAAAGATATGCATATATGAATAAATGACAAAGCTATATATATTACAAGAGTAAATTATTAGAATGTAGTTTAAATGTTGAATCGTGTCAGTAAACAATAAACAATGAAATCATAAGAAGCATGGTCAAACACAAGAAAAGGTTGCTGCACAAAAAAGTCAAGACCTAACATCTTCAACGATCACGCAAGGCTATCTTCTCACATTAGGTTACTGTGACATAATTGAATCACTGTTAAAAAAAACCTGACTAACTCTTGTGACCAAATGAAGAAAACTGAAAAAGTAAAAACTAGCTTGAGACTGTTGTCGCGTTGCTCTGTTCTGTGTATACTATATTAATATAGTAACACAGATGGGTATAGATTGTTGAACATACAACATCTAAACTGCAATTTAACTTAACTTTATAATAACATCGATTTAACCCCAGTGCGGAGCTTTTCCTTGAAATGGATGTCAGGGATACTCACCACAACAAATTGAAATTGGTTTTTAAAGAGATGTGCTTTATGCACCACATAGCCTTATCGTGAAGGAGCCGCGCAATAATGCAATATATACAAAAACAAATGGGACCAGTTTCATGAAGACTTCCTCACCTGCTGCCACATGTAACTGTTTTGTAATCAAGATGGTTTGTCGCATGCTGAAAAGTCTTATGTTGAACGTTTTACATAACCTCATAATAACTATTCACAAGTACAAGCTGAAAATATATATAAAACCATATGTAATGAATATCAATGTTAAGTCATTGTGTTACAATGAACATATGCTCAGCACATTAAACATTCATTTGAAACTTAACTGAATGATATCTTCATAGGAACTGCTACTTCACTTTATGGGTACACGTGTTACCAACCTTAAACCAAACCCTCTGTCAAAAGCATCCAGGTTTCTAGTTCCAAAATGAAGAAACAATTGAAAGTGCTTAAGCTGTATGTACATGTGAATGAGTGAGTGAGTTGGGTTTAACGCCGCTTTTAACAGTATTCCAGTTATATCACGGCGTGGCATGGACATGTATGTAATCAAGTAATTGAATACTAAACAACCCAATAAACAACAAGAATAAAATAATAGCAAAAACAACCTTACGAATAAAATAAAAAGTTGCTTAACCAAAAATGAAAAGTTATAAGATCTCTGCTGTGGGTTTGCCCTTATTCTCCCACATGTGACACTGGCAAATCGATCACCTAATTCACAATTGCAGCCCAGTGAGTGAAATGGTACACTGAAAACTAAAATAAGGCTTAAAAATGTTGTTTCAATTCCTTCTTCCTTTTCCAATGATCAGAGGTCAGCGTTACTCGTTTCACCACAAGAAATTTGGTTAATTACTGTCAGTGAAAGCAGCCTTTGGTTTAATCAACCGGTAAATAAAAGTGATAAGACCATTTCCACAATCAACATGTTGTAGCGGTATTGTGAATGATCCTATTTTACTTAAAACCAAATGGGGTCTGGAACCCGTTCAATTAATACACCCTTATCTGACCGTTCTCAAAGAATATTAGTTAAATGGCTCGACAAGAGATTGTTTCAGAAGACAAAGAACATGTTGCCATGTTTCATTCTGTGTTTCATAAATTTCAGTTGTTGCATCCATGTACGTGAGTCATGTCCTGGTTGATGCATTATTCTTTGCTCAAGTAGAATTAAATTCACCACCTACATGTACATACGACAGTAGTTACCTTTTGAAATGTAATGTAATACAATCAAATATCTGTGTGTATTCTGAGACATATACTATTTCTTCATAACCTCTGAATATTCACATATGACAACGTTAGATATATTCTTTGGAAAATATAACATTTGTACATAGATAATAAAGTATAACATGAAGGTTTAGTTAATGTGTGCAGAGAATATACGTTTTTACACTAAGACATGGTAATGTCTCAGAATGTGTTTCCATAACACTTCGATGCATTTGTGTTAACTTTCGAGTTATTTTCCGCAGTCGAAATTAACATATGTGGCAGCACTGTCGACGATGCTGACGTCGACAGGTGTGCAGTTAGTTGTTAGCCCCGTGTAGGTGGCCTCATCTGCTGCACCTTCAGCGACACTGTCAAGCACCGTGTAGATGTTGGAGGTCGGGGGAGCATCGGCATCTTGTTCTGCAACTCTCTTAACTGGCATCATCTTCCTGCGGCTACAAAAATATAGAGAGAAACATAGAAAACTACCGTGGTTAATCCACCTTAAAGTATATTCATCTGAACAGTTGGTATTCAAGGTCGCAACATAAGATCTACGTCATCACATCTTAATGTGTTACAGCCTTTTTATATCTGCAATATTGCTGAGCAACAAACAAAACAATCGTACTATTTTAACAATACCAAACGTTATGAGTGAGTGAGTATAGTGTTACGCCGCGTTTTACAATATTCCAGAAATATCACTGAGGGGATCAACAGAAATGGGCTTCAGTCACCGCACCCATCATAGTGTGGGGTCTTCGGCGTGACGAGCGAATGCTTTAACCACTAGTCTAATCCAACGCCCCCAATGTTATACATGTAGACGTTTTCCACAAGGGCGAAATCCATGGGCATGTGCATGGTGCTGACAAACCAAGAAGATGTTCTCTGTAAGAAACTCTGTTGGGATTCTGGGTCAGTGTAGGGCAGGATGTTGGCCGTAAAGTCCGACTAAAATTGGGACCAGGACCCGTCCCACGAAGCAATCTTAGTGCTACCCTATCATAAATAAATGCGACAACACCCTTTCAAAATTCATCAGAAATCTCCCAAAAGCGATTCCGAACGCGTTTATGAATCACTGTCAAATAGTGATGAAACCAGTTGTTCGCGAAAAGGCGAACGTATCTTACCTGACACACTTTTTTTATAGTTCAGGTGGGTAAGTAAATCAGCGGAAGGGAATTGTCTATTTGATGGTTATTGAACGATATAAGATCATCGATATACCTGAAGCTTAAGTTAAACTTCTTGACCAAACTACGTTGTTTTGACTTTGCCAATCCGAGCGGAAATAAAGAAACATGCAAAAAGAAACAGATCAGCAAGGAGGAAAGCACAACTGGTGACCCTTGGGGATGCCTACTTCTTGCCTGAATATCTTAATCCCAAATGTTACATAGATGGTATCAATGAGGAAGTCCAACATTTCACATATTGTTTTTTCTTTAGATGGCATTTGCTTTCATTTTTGAGCCTATGTTACACTTATGTTACGATCGGTACAGTTCCTGCCTATCATCATAATTTGATGACGTGTATTCTTCTTGTGTTTCATCAATATAAGGCTGACTGCAGATGGAAAACAATATGATCCAAAAGATCTAAACGTGTCCTTCAGATTTACAATGGTAATCGGAATATATGATATACGTGAGGTGAGATGAAATGGGGTTTAACGTCGCGTCCAAGATTATTGCACTCATGTAGCGACGTAGACCCTCTGAGGCGTCCAGTGTTCGGTTTACTTGAATAACTAAGCTGGCCAGAACGACAAAAGGGCTTGAAAAGGAAAGGGGTTCGGCTACTGTGTTAGACGTTATACGGAGAGCGAATTATCCAAACTAATCATGTAGTAAGCATGCTCAATGAATTGGGTGTTCGTAATAGTGTATGTTGGGGTAGGCTGAGCAATATGATATAGACAGATAACTAAAACTGTGGCTGAGAAAACATTTTTTTTTCCATGACTATTAACCAAGGCGGTTATATATCCACAAGATAATCATATACTTAACATGGCAAATACCAGAAATAGTTTAAAGCTTTTACTGCCACTGATATGATGTTTGATTTTTAACAAAGTGGATGAATTAGTTTCATTGTCATAGACATAACCGTTTTCATGACAAGTATTAATGGGTTTCAGCAAGCCTACTGGCTACGACTGGTACCGCTATGTTACTACACATATCTGTTCCTGTCTGAGATCACTCCACAATTATGTTATATGTAACCGATAGGACAGCACAAGATCACTCTTATCGCGATTGGTGTCAGTGATCTTGAATTTGCTATTCATCCTCGATTTGAGTCAGGGGCAGTATACAATATATGACTTGATTGTGTATCTTTGCTCATGCTCTCTACCACTAGATTGGCTGACCCTGTGTCGTTCTGCTATTCATCCTCGATTTGATTCAGGGGCAGTATACTTCCTAATGACACCCTGTTTGACATAACAGCCGACCAAAATGCTAATTGGGTTGACACAATATATGACTTGATTGTGTATCTTTGCTCATGCTCTCAACCACTAGATTGGCTGACCCTGTGTCGTTCATTTACACGCATCAGTCATATAACGCTGCTACTGGCTGCATATACAGCAACATTCACTCCATTGTGTTTGGAAAATATTGTTTAATTGGCATCGACAATCATTTGCATAGATTTTTACCAGATTTGCCACAGTTCAATGAATGTAATAAGTTGTCACCATATTCATGAACTAGGAATCATCATTTTTGAGAAGCAAATGTCATTTACTATACACATATAAATACTTACGTATAGAACGCATATGCCATAAAGACGACCAGGAGAGCCACAATAACAATCCCACAGATTATCCCCACGATCAGCGCCGCGTTGTCCGGTTCTGCTGAAATGAAAAAGGTTGATTATATAAGGAACTGTATATGGAGGCCGTATTATTTTTTTAAGATTTGATATGTCAAGATATAAAGACATGTTGCAGTAAAGTGTTGTTGCTCCAAACACTTTGCACGTATCATATTGAATGATGACGTCATTTGCAGCACAAGTGTCGTTTTCTTCACCACATAAAACATAAAAGTTGCTGCCACTGTAAGAATATAATTGTTCTTTTTATCACTCCTGAATGTGTAATAAAAATTATGGTGTTCATGTTCCAGACATGGTCACAAAACAACCGCATTAATGCAGCCTGTATGGGGAAAAAGAAGATAGAAAGAATATAACTAACAACTTTGCTTTTGTAACCTGTCCTTCTTAAAAAAAGTCTGGGATTTATTATTGTCTCGGGCAGAGCTATACAATCGCTCCTTGGTCTAGTTTCACAAAGCAGTTGTAGCACTGCGACTTTCGGATACCAGTGTTTAAGTTGCAAAGCTGTGAAGGTGGTGACGTTTATGATCTGCTCAGAAACGGGGCGCTGTTATGAATGCATCAAGATATGTTTGGGAAATCTGATGGCAAGGAGAATGTTGATAAATATGGCAGATGGTGAACGACGGCCGAGAAAAAGAGTAGCATTAATTATTCACCTTGGAAAGAATCATCTGTAGTCAACTTGTTTCCATTTCCATCTGGTGTAGAGGTCTCTGGAACGAATCAGGGTATGCATTGTCTTGATAACTGACACAAGTATTGCAGTATACCCAGCAGTAAATATATTCCCACACCACAGAGGGATAGGTGGCTTAGTGTAAAGCCACATTATTTCAGTATTCAGTATTTTATGGCGTGGGGTACATTCGAATACTAGGCACAATGATTGCTACATATTATTGACAAAGTTGCGTTTGTGTGAACTATTTTGATGTAAACTCCTTTAACACTACAGCAGCTTGTAGCCAGTGACCGAGTCAAAGATCTATGTCGTCGGAACACATTAACAATCAGCAAAGTCACAGATCTTCGATACCACACCCAAGTTTAGTCGGGACACACTTTGTTTGCCGCACTCAGCAACATTCCAGGAATATTATTACTTCTGGTCTCAGCCAAACAAGCTAATGACTGATATTATGAATATCGACACATTAGCCTACTTGGAACCTATTCTGACCTGAAGTCCCCACATGGCATTGGACCTATTATGACAGGCTTTGTTCTCAAATGACCATGCGAATTCTGTTGATTATTACTTCAAAGAATTACCCTCATATATCTATAGGTACATGGACATGTGTCTTGAGGAGACGGTAGACTCCAAGTGAAGAACTGAAGGACCTACCTAAAATCAAATTAATGCATCACAGGAATGTAGGCTTTTAATTTTTACATATAATTGTACATGAAAAGACCTACCTGCATCAAGATGTGTCCTAAAATTGTATCCTCCGTTGTATATATTATCATAATCGTATCCAAGGACAGCAAAGGAAGAATTAGAACGAATTGCTGTTATGTGTTGACCACTTTGTAATATTCCCACTTTGTATCTTGTTCCTGGAACTTCCTTCCACTTTATCGGGGGGTTGAAAACTGTAGAGAGAGTGTTTGGGATTTCTTGAACGTGTAAATTGTTGTTGTCTTTATCTGTCAATATTGCCCTGGTGCCTTGGGCTTTTAGGGTTGTTTGTTTAGAGTAGAGGGTTACAGGTGGTACAACAATTAACCCACCAGGCACAACCTTATAACGCATCCCAATAGAACACAATGTGACCATGGTTGGCTTTGTGGTGTTGAAGTAAAATGTTTCAAAAGGTCCACATTGTTCACGGTACAGTCCATCTTTACCCACAGAGACGGAAGAACCATTATTAAACATGATGCTCGAGTCACTGTGGTCAGTAACAACTTGAAGTTGGTATGGCAGGGTAATCGATTTCCTTCGATAGTAAGAAGAATATTTGATAGCGACAATATACTCACTTCCATAATGTTTCACAGGCAGTAACTGCTCGTAGGTAGAGATGAATTTCGACGTCGTATAGTATGTTCCACTGTAGACAGCTATTGTTTCCGTGGCTTTAACAATGGTTCTGGTCATATCAGATGAACTGGTTATGGAGAAAGTCTGATACTTATCTAATCTGATACTGAGGGTGTCCCCGTTGCTGTACGCTCTGTCCTTATAGGTGACGTTGCCCTCCAATCTGAAGATAATGTCAACATCCGCCTTCTTGCTGTGTGTAGCTATCACTAAGACTACTCTGTATCTTGTGTATCTGTATATGTTGTCAGTGGGAAGACAGGAAGAAATGATGTACTTGGTGCCTAGTGCGGACACAGGAAGGGGAGAGAATGATGTGTAAGGGGTCAGCTTCACATTGATATGAACAGCAGCTCTCACATGCACAAGCACTACCTTGGTTGTTGTGGTATTAGGATAAAAGTAGTCTGTGTTGTAAGGATTGAAGCGTCGAGACCAGACACGCCCGGCGAGAGGATCCTGTACCTGCCACTGGCCTCCTGTCTCCCCAGCAGTGGCGAGTATCCGGGGGTGGTTGTTAGAGGGGGGATCGTATTCCGCCACTGCCATCAAGTAACTTTCACCTGTGAGGCATGTCAATGTTTATGCATTTGATAACCTTATGATTAGACGAAGTATTACCAGTATCTTCTTTGGCACAGATGTCTATGTTAGAATAAAGGATTTTGAGTTATACAACGTTACGTAAGTAAAGCATATCTATAGGCAACGGTAAGAGAGAGCCTATCCTTGACATATCAGTCATATGTTCCCTAAATGCAGAAGTCAAAAAGTAATTTGTAACAGGTAAAACTATAGTGTTTGGCGTGTAATCATTTATAATGAAATGAGTTTTAACTTCCCTTTTATAAAATAAGTTTAGTAATATCATGGCACGTGAGCCAAATGTTAGGAGTATACAAGTTGTATGAAATCTGTATGCAGGGATTTGGTATTAACAAAGAGGAATCCTCATAGGGCGGAATCTACTCCACGCAGCGGCGCCTCAGACAACTGGACAGACCATCAACATATTACACACATTACTACACAGCCCACACGGTATAAACCTACATCAGTGTATTCAAAACATTGTAAGTTGTCGACCATAATGTCATGATCATAAAGGTAACTGTGTCACATACCTGTATAATGTACTGCCTCCTCTGCAGACACATTATAGCCGATGTTATGGACCGATCCGTTATAAAAAGACAGTGCTGTGAAGGGGAGGTCGCTGGAAATGGACGTAAAACGTGTATATTGTTGTGGTGAAAGTGTCACTGTGCCAACTTTGTATCTGCTGCCCGGTACATCTGTCCATGTCAGAACATCGTTGAGTTGTTTGTTTTTAATCAACACACTCGATGTCTTCTCAGTTATTATCTTTAATGTTGTATTTAGATTGTTACCTTGAAACCAGACACCCCTGTGTGTGACGTAAGAGTGTACAGGTGGTACAGTTGTGAAGACACTGCTGTAACCATCTGTTCTACTGAGTGTCACCAGTACCGGGCGTGTGGTGGTGAAGTGAAGACTTTCTCCCTGTTCAAGTGAGCGGTTATAGAGACGACGCTCACCTGTAGAGACTGTGGCCCAGGTACTGAACGTAATCTGCACGTGGCTGTGTTCACTGATGATCTGCAGCTCCAGCTTGGTGTCATCTACAGCAACAACATACTCCTGCCCGTGGTGCTTGACAGGCAGTAGTTGGTCATACACAGTGTACTTCGAGGCATAGTCTATACCACTGTAGACGGCCACACTGTGTCCACTGTTAATGACCGTTCCATTCAGATCATGTGGGGTTGACATCATTACCGTTTGATATGGATCAAGTTTGAGGGGCAGAGTATCGCCGTCACCGTATACGTAGTTGACAAAGTTAACACTTCCTTTTTCTATTCGAAAGGATATATCAACATTGGTGCTCATGTTGTGTGTAGCTATCAGTAGCAAGGATTGATAACTACTGTTGGGTACAAGACTGGAAGGTAGAATGTACTTGGTTCCAAGGGCAGATATAGGAAGAGGAGAGAATACACCGTCAGCGGCTACCACAATGTTTACATTTTCGTCACTTCCGCTTACAACGACAGCTGTATTTTCTACAACACTAGTGATTTTCATCTTATCGCTTACAGGGTGCCAAGTACCCTGGAAGGGACCCAACACATTGGATGTTCTTTTGGCGAAGTGTGGATACTGTATCTCCATCAGGCCCCCGGTTTCTCCGGCTGTGTACCTGATGTACGAGTCTTTGCCTCTATATGCCAGAGCCACCACGTAGTCTTCACCTGTAAAGTCAATTCAAAACGATATTACATCCATATATTATGTAGGCGGCGAGTTCAAAGGACGACGGAAGTGCTGCATCCGTGAACCACACCCTTCGCGGAACCACGTGCAAAACTCGAATACATGTAACTGTGTCCTGACTATTGCAGAGTCAAAATTGATACAGTCTGAATAATGTCTGTCTCTGGACAAAAGGAATCCTAATAGTGTCGTAACATTCAACAAGGTCAATGCCATTCAAATAACTCCGTCATGAACGTAGCTCTTCATTACAACGGTCGTCGATCTGCTGGCTGCATTCGACCAGTCCGTCGCAAATGCAGACAAACTCAATGTTCCTGGTTATTTCCAAGGGGACTACGTTCACACTTCGGGGCTGTATGTATTACATTAAGTTACCCAGGACGTCACAAACGCTTTAATCTTAATCTCTATATTTTCAGGAGTAATCGAGGGGAACTCTCGAAATTGTCAGTGACTAGGTGTAATTGATCACTTTTAACTTTTGCGTTTTGGGGTGTATCTTGGTCCCTTTACGTTTTGTTCATGTGAAAAAAATTAGTTGATAAATCTTTGACGGATTGGGGTGTTGCGTAAAAATTATTATCTTGCATCTGTTTTGATACATAAAATATGTAATAGTAAGTTAACTAAACGTAATAGCTAACAGTTGTTACATTCATTATTATCAGCTAGACGACCCTGTCTGTGGATGTATAATGTTAAGTTTAATATAATCAATAAAGGACAAGACAATAATAAAATCGAAAAACATATGTTTGGGCATCGCCCTCTTAATCTTACTAATTTAATTCGTGGCCTTAAAAGCATCGTCTTATAGACAACAGATAATGCCTGGACATATTATATTTCTTAGACAGCTTGGGCGAATCTGGGATCATTAACAATCATAAGCATCTGGCGCGCAACTCTGCACAACGAAATATGGAGCTTCAGACGACTGGACCATCATACATCCGTGTAATATCAGTTCCGGGTACCCGTTGTTTGAAACAAACATGCTCCAGACAAACCCCAGAGGAATATCTAGGCCAGACCGTCATTATGTCACACCACAGACGCACACGCACACTTTTGAAAGGAGTGAGTGAGTGAGTGAGTGAGTATGGTTTTACGCCGCTTTTAGCAATATTCCAGGAATATTACGGATGGGGGACACCAGAAATGGGCTTCACACATTGTACCCATGTCGGGAATCGAACCCGGGTCCTCGGCGTGACGAGCGAACGCTTTAACAACTAGGCTACCCAACCGCCCCTCCTTTGAAAGGAATAGTGATGATATTGCACTATTGATAGGTATATCTTTTGTGAACACAGTTATTGTTGTGGTTTGCGTTTTGTTTTACCACGTGGGTGTCCCGTGGAAATCAGCCACTTCATGGTGAGAACTATATTATATTACCATCTATAGTATTTTAAAATTTCCTTTGGGATTCCGGTCAAGAGTATTCCGGTCAAGCAACCTATGGAGGCGACTGTATGGATCGGGTGGTCAGGTTCGGTGACTTGGTTTAGTGCACGTCGTCGTGACCAAATTGGGTTTCACAACAAACAAACAAACAAACAACATTTCTGTAGCTATATTAGCTATATAGATAATCGAATCGGGATCAGGCAAGCAATAGTTGATAGCTTTGTCAGCGTCCCAAGTCGTCGGGGCAAAGTCACCGAGACTGACCACACGGTCCCAACTATACTAGCATGTGGTACTGTGGACCAGTTCCGAACCCAAATGTCCATAGGGAACGTGTAAAGTGAGTTGTTGTAAGTTAAGCGTTGTCCAACTCTTAAATATAATGAGCAATTATGAGTGGAGTAACAAAATATATGAAATCACTTTACCAATGTTTTCGAAAAACACCAACAACTATTAGCAAGTCTTTTCATGGCTACATGTCCTCGCCCATGATTTGCCGTACATGATATAATGTAAAACGTCAATGCCAGAGAATAATCAGTCTCCATTATCTGCAGAAACAGATTCCATTGGACGTTGAAGGCAAACTCGTGATTGAAATTATATGAATGGATCATTGAAAATCAGTGATGACACATATGGGGTGACACATCTGTGACGTCAATGTAATGTTTAGGAGATCCAATATTTTCCATGAATGGACCGCTCAACAATCATTCGGTTCTATACTATCTCCATTAATGTAAACATAGATTTTCGGAATTCTTTACTGGTTTTCAATTTGACACTCAATTCAATTATTTCAATATTTGTAGGAAAACATGTGTCGCCAGTAGGACTCGAACCAGGAAAGTATGATTTGAGGACCTTTTGATAGTAGACTTCGTTTACGGCGACACGTGTCACGTGCGCTCTGAAGTGATATTTTTATTTAAAAGTTTGTATAGCGCATGAACGTTTTGAAAATAAACTATTCCTTTTATGCTTTAGAAACTGGTGATGTGTGTTTTTAGATAGAGAACATGCTCGTTACTCGTATGTTTTCCTTAACGTTATATTTGTTTTTCGAATTTTAACACAAAATATTTTTGTCTCCTAAATACAATTCCGAAACATATGCAAAAAATTCAAAAGTGCATAGATCTTAAACATATCTAGTCTGTGCTAAATACCTGATCACCTTTTGTACCGCGTACGATATATTATTTATGGCTGTTTGAAAGTTGTTTTGTTTTCATGAACATAAATGGATGTACTGCAGGTTTGCGTGTTTAATTCCACCAATGGTACATGTAGTCTTGACCTCATACGAGGTAATACAATATCTAATCGTAACAAGACTTGGATCATGTTATCAGATATAAATCACAAATAATTAAGTAATTGTGATCCCAACAAATTATGCGGATTCAATTTTGTGTTCGAAATTATGCATGGACAATTCTCCATTCTATTGAAAAACAATCCCCAACATATGTTTTTTGAAATCCCCAACCGTGTGACATTTATAGTTTTCCTTACGCGTGAAATTCGATCTTGATTGAAAAGGCGATTAAACCATACATCTTTATTCTTTGTAATAATATCAGTTAATAGATCATTTCCAAACAGAGATATACTTTGGTGACAACAGTGTTTTGTAGAAGATACTGGGGAAACAACAGAGTTACTTACCCTTGCCACTTTGCAGCACCGTCAAAAGAACAACCAAACTGAAACACTTGTAAATCATCCTCTCCTTCGGCTGTTTCTGGTTCCCATGAAACTAAGGGATGAAGATCCCAGATGTCTTCCGAGATGGCAGGATGGAAAATCAAATCCACATGTGACAGGGCGACCAAAGCGGGTGTGAGTATGACATCAGTTACACGGCCTCTTATATACAACATTATTTTACATCCTTGTTTTACATACGTCTCGTTTGTGTTGTCAGAATAGACTAGATAAGAATATTTACAAATCCACGAATGCGTAGATAACTACGAGGAAGTGCTATTGAATCACTGTGAGTGAGTGAATGTTATGATGATGCAGTCAGCCAAGTTCGAGCTAGATCATGTTGGTTTATAATCAACATTAGCCTTTGAAAGGCAGGGTTGGTGCACATGAAACATATGTCGTCGATGATCAGATGTATCACAGAGGTATTCCTGTTGTAGTTCTCTGCATTTTCTACAACAGGTTATAAAAAGATACAATGTTTTCTGAAGGAAACCGGGGCGGTCGGGTAGCCTAGTGGTTAAAGCGTTCGCTCGTCACGCCGAGGACCCGGGTTCGATTCCCGACATGGGTACAATGTGTGAAGCCCATTTCTGGAATATTGCTAAAAGCGGCGTAAAACCATACTCACTCATTCAGTCACTGAGGGAGACCATCGCCAAAGCAATACTCGAACTGATACGATGTTCCGATACGATACAGTGATATTGCGATACAGACACAAACGACACAGAGAAAACACACACTGAAAAAGCGCTAGAATGAGACGATGCGGTGAATGAACGACACGACATTATGACAGCACAATACGATATGGCGACAGTACAACACGTCATAACGATAGAACGACAAGCCATGGCCATAACGCGCCATGACATGGCGATGAAGCGGAAAAAGGTGTAATGCGATATGGTCACGCAATACGACAATATAACAATATATTGCCAAAATGCGATATGACGGTATTGCAATGGAGCGACATTGCATAATTGCGTTGTGACTTTCAAATCTCCAACTCAAACCGCGGCTGATTTGCCCTCTACAAATGCCTTGAGAATAATACAATGAAAATGATCCAAAGTTGTGACAAAGTGACACTACTACCTGCACCATAAACATGTCTGAGTCGTTCAAAGCGCAACAGCAGTTACGTGCATATGAGACAAGTAACACCACATGACAACGTGATCAGTGCACGTGCAGGGTTATGCAGTGGGGTGGTTATGGGTTATCTGAACTGAACTGAACTGAAGTGAACTTTATTTACACTCAGGCCGCCATCAGCGGAATCAGAGGTACAAAAGTATTTCAACAACATAATACATATACATATAAATATAGGATATATACAAAAACATCTTTGCCGAGCAAACATACATGTATATGTATACAGATTTACTATGGCAGCAATATATGTTCAATTCAGAAAGAGGGAGCGTTACTTGATATATTTAAACAATGACATGGTGATTTTACAGAATTTGGACAGTTTTCTCAATGTTCCTAGTCGTGAGTTATTGAAAAGTAAATTCATTTTATGCATATTGGGTTAAATGTAGAATTTGTGTAAAAAATGTTTTATTTCGTGTTCTAACGATGTCAAAATGTTGACTGTTAGCGTCGGTTTAACTATGACGTCATTAGATCATGTTGGTGTATAATCAAAGCTAGCCTATGAAAGGCAGGGTTGGTGCACATAAAACATATGTTGTCGATGGTAAGATGTGTCACAGAGGTATTCCTGTTGTAGTTCTCTGCATTTTCTACAACAGGTTATAAAAAGATACGTTTTCTGAGGTAGGTCATCGCCATATCGCTCCGACATATCAACACGATATCGCGCAACAGAGCGACTGTAACAAACTGATGCGATGTTCCGATACAGTGATATTGAGTTACAGAACCAAAATTGACTAAAAGTTGTCTAAAAGTTGACTGTTAGCATCCGTTTCACTGTGACGTCATTTCACGTCTGACTGAAGCGCAGCGGAACAACCTCGTCCGACGACTGGAAGCAGGAGGATTGCAGTAACGATATTGAAAAGTGACGTTTGGTTTATCTATTTATGAGGAACTGAGAATGTTTGAAAGCAAGGGGTGTACCGGCCGACGAAGGCTGATCAACAGAATATGCTTTTGCGGTGTAATAATAGGGGCGGATTTCTTTCACACCGGAAGAACAAACCCAGTGCCAGGCAACAGAACGGCACAACGCTATTTTGATAAAATTGTGTAGCCGCACGTTTTCATCACATTAATTATGTTTCAACCTGACAATGCTGGACTCCATGCAACATGTGCAACAGTAATATTCGTATGAAACAACAATGTACAATGTCCTTCTATGGCTCTTTTGTGATTGTATATGTAAAGCTGTTTTTAAATATAATTATTACTCGTTGATCTTGTGTGGTCATTTATTTATTTCACAATTTAGTTCTGTATGAATAGATTTCTCGTTGAACCTTTGGGTTTAAATTTGGAAATCACCTCGTAACAACAACCTCGTGAGTGCGTTATCAGGCGGTGCCAGGGGATATTGAGATCTCATTACCTTGACATTTTCCGTGTCATGTCTTCATATAGGACACGTGTTCACTTTTGTCCCGTTTGCAATATGTTTTCACACATCAAGCTTTTAGATGTGCAATAAATATGTGTTACTTCCCACATGTGTTACACGTTTCATATTTTGATGAGTATGTATAGATTTTACCATTCATGACTATTATGAGGACTGTAAAACAGAATGCTTATCGAGAACATTGGGTTTGAATTTAATGTTATCATTATCTATTATCTTCTTTATTTACGTTTTTACAAATATATAATAGTATATAATGGTATACATGAAAACTGAAACATAAGTATAAATTGGCGATGGTTTTGCCATTGGAAAACATGTTGTATTATGTTGTTGTAGCCTTACACTTGTGCCTCTTCTAGCAAAATGGTGCTTTCGGGCTTCCTCATTCAATATATAAGCTTATTACTCGACCGTTAAATATGCCATCGTTTAATAACAAAAAGCGCGTGATTATGTACTGCCAATTTTATCAGAACTATTCACTCGTTTGATAAGCTTGGTATTACACGGGAACTCGTTGAGTATTCGATATTTATGCTTGCGTTTATCAAACTTATTCACTGCTAAATCCTGAACATGAAAAGATGCGGAAATCTTATTATAACATGTTCAGTTATGTCACAGACATGTCGTGTCGTGTCATCACAATATCGCTCTATCGTTTCGCAATATCGCCACACCGCAATATCGTAGTGTACTATGGTAAAGGTAAATATTATTTTAGATGCAAGTTTTCCTAATGTTTCAAAGTATGAACTGTTAGTGAAATGACATGAAATCAGGTTAAGATATTACAATTGATTTAACTTATTATCCATGGTGGTCCGATGGTATTACACTAACGTTCTAAAGTTTAATTTCCACGTAGTATTGATCAATTCTAAGATACGTGTTGACCATGTTTTCATGTTCTCAGTAACTTTCCACTACCCCGTGACCTTAACCTTCACGTGCAATGTCAAAGCTCACATGTCACGTCACGACCTCTTCAAAGCTCATGCATTTCGAAGCACATGCTCACCAGTGTGTATTGGACCTCCATGCTGCCAGGTTCTCACCTTACTGTCTGCTATATTTGAACTATGTAAAGACACATGTGAGTACCTTTCCCTTTCATTGTTAGGTTTTATGTTTATTTCTGAACACCCTGAAATTGTACATATACCAAAATATTAAATTAGTGCAAAATTGTTTAGATATTTCACACAACCTTTACATCATATTTGCAAATGTGTGCTTGTTAATTATGCCTAATTTCAATGTAGTCAATATATTTATTGCTTCATTTGGATGTAATTTTGAATGTGTTTAATACTAGGAAAATTGGTAAATATTTTCTGAATTTACAGAAAGCTGTTGTTTATTGTAGTTTTCTGAACCTCATCAACTGTTCAACTCGTTACCGACTCGTCACCAATCGTTCTAAAGCCATGGCTCCAAGTATAATCTGTAAACTGTCAAACGTCACGCAATAAACCCTGTTGATGCGAGTATTAGTTTTGTGTTCTTGCATCCACAATTATGGAATTTTGGAATTGTTCATAAAAGAAAATCTTAGTTCCTCAAACTATCAGAACTAGAAAGGTAAAATAAAATATTTCACATTATGAGTTTTCGACCAAATACATCATTTGTAATCTTGCTGCTGAACATTGGTGTCAGCGTATTATGCATTTCCTCTCATTCCATCATACATGTAGTAATGAGTTAAATTTCCTCATACGCATTCATTGATTAGTATTTGATTACGGATAACTGACGAGATTTATAAACAAAATGGGAACATATTTTACCTGTAACATATATAGTTCTCAAACAAATAGAAATGTATAGAAACTGGATTTGGATAGCACTAACACATTATTGACTACGACAACAAGTTTCCTTGTTACAGTTGACAGTAATATCCTATACAACATAATATTCCTCGTTCCTTATGTGGTTTTCCTCGTCTGTGACAATTAATTATCAACATGTTGGGTGTGTCGACGTATGGTCTAAAACCAGTTAGCTTTTTCGTGGGGCTTCCAGTGCAGAATAGGTACCAGTTTGCTTGCCTCTGTAGTCAATTGGAATCGAGCGTATTTTGTTCCGTTAAATACAGTTTTAAACACTTGACACTTCTTAAGACTTTTCCTGTACAATCCTTGAATATTCCCATATATGTGTCAATAAGCTGACTGGTAAACAAGCGTGTGCGTGGCATGTCCTGTATATCAACGAATATGCACATTATTTATAACAACGCATGCGTTGTAATATATAGACTAAATCAATATTTAAAGCTCGTATCAACTGATCTTTTATATCTTTTTTGATCTTATCGATTATAACTAAGCAATTATGTTTTTAATAACATGTACATTTAACTTCGATGTTCAGAATTAAGCTTGAATAGAATTCCATAGAGCACCCAAAACTGGAAC